TTTCACTTGAAAATCTCGTCGACCAATAAACAAAAGTTCACCTGATCTTAAGTCCAAGCGAGCCAAATCACCAGTCGCATAGCATTGCTCACCATCGATATCAATCAACACTTGGGACGTCAAATCCGCTCTTCCATAATAACCAGCAAATACACCAACACCTAAATTGATTATATCGAAAGCTGACTAGAAAGAGATGACTAATGACTAACCTCCAATGACAATTTCACCCAGTTGACTAGGTATTACTGGCTGTCGATATTCATCGAGAAGATAAATTCGATAGCCAGTCATTGGACGACCAATTGGTAATGATGTCATCATGAAAACTTCTTCACGACGAACTTCGTAAAAAGTCGCTGCCTCTGTGATCTCTGCAGGTCCATAAGAATTCAAAATATGACATTGCTCGCTGATAAATGGTAAAAACTGACGAATCGTTGAACTGAACAGTTGTTCACCTTCGAAAACAAAATACTAATTATTATCAACTTTTACGTAAATAGAACGCATTGATAAACTCTCAATGCATGTCAATATTTGTGACATTCAACAAGATAGTTATTCGACTAATCACTCTATATTATTGTGTTCATTCTCGCAATTTGAATTTCACTGTATAGGGAATCGTGGAGATTAAGCAGTCACACACAGAAAAAAAAAGGCAACACGTACGTCAAAAGACGTGTATGAACATGCTGATATAAGTCAATTTCGTTTCTATTGTATTCGTTGACACTTCCAAGTGTACAACTAAGATAAAAATGAATGCCACCAACCGATGTTTATTACTTTCCTGTAGTTATCTTATGCTACTTCTCCTAGCATCTTGCCACTTTCGATTGTCAATCTCAATACCTCTTGTAGACATCGAACTTGCAATGCTAACATGCTATAAATGTGGTGCCATATAGTTAATAAAAAGGCGGATGCTCTCTACGTTCATGGATTTTTCTTAGTCTACTCCGGTAACATTCAATAATAATCCTACGTGCTTGTCTCTTCAGGGACTTGATTATTAATCTGGGGTATAGTTCGATTGTTTTAGTTTTCGTGTATATTTATTAACAGATTTTTCTTGCCCCGTAGAATAATGTGAAAAATAGATTTTCTCATCATGTCTTCAGGGTTGATATTGGTTATTGAGCTTTGAGAGTAGAAAGCTGGAGATTCGATTTTTCAATAACAAAATATAGACTCTTACGCTTTCTAGGGCAAAGACTTTCAGGTTAACAGATTGACACTTAGCAAGGAAGGAACTTTTCTATTCAACACATGCACTTTTGTCGAACTTGTATTATCTCTTCTTCTAGATGTAGAGTGTTGCTACTTCTCAAATATTCTAGCCAAACGTGGAAATTGAAACTAACATAACTTTCAATCGATTTGAACAGGTTATCATTGTAGTGGCTTTTCGACACAATCATAATGATCATCGATTCCAACATACAACAGCCCAAAGAACTCGGCTCCTTTTCTTATCAGATGGAAACTTAGCCAGTGTTTTAATGAAAGTTTTCATGTTCGTAAAAATATCATCAACGGTTGAGGGCATGTGGCTTTATTGGCCATTGAGGAGACTCTTAGAAGCGTTCCCTATTTCTAACTTGAAGTACCTTCACATTCGACTTCAATCAACCGAAGCAGTGATATGGTTATACAATAGCCTCATTCAATATATAAGTTCTGCTATTATTTACCTCCTAGATACCATAAGCGTACTCGTTTGATTCTTCCTTGAGCATGATGATTCTCACCGAGAAATTTTCCTAAAGCATTCATCCACGATGGAACAGGTGCGACAAAAGTTACATTCTTCTGATGAATAACTTTTGTCAAATAATCGAAATCAAGATGACCTCCAACCTTGAGTAAAACTAAATGGGCACCTCGGACAAGTGCACCATTGATTTCATCCAAGTGTACATCAAAAGAAGAGCTTGCAAGTTGCAGAATGACGTCACTCGTCTGTATGAAATGTGCGTGCATGTAACCCATGAAATTGCGATGCCGAATTTGAACTGCTTTAGGAATACCTGTTGATCCCGATGTGAAGACGATATGAGAGATAAACTCAGGTGTCACAGCTACTTCAGATAATTTTTTCATTTGTTCATCACTAAAAACCTTGTTTGAGAGAAATATTTCTGAGATGTCCACAATCGGCAGATCGACTTGACTGACATGCGCACGTGACCGGTGATTGACAAGTACTACTTTTGCATCAGTTTGACGAATGAGTGATTGAAGTCGATCAAGAGGATCGTTTGGATTGAGAGGAGCATAAATAGCACCCGACATCATAATACCCATGATACCAATAATCATTTCAATACTTCGATCGACACATTGACAGACAATATCGCCTGGATGCACATCTTTATCGTTGATCAGATGGTATGATAGTTGCTGAACTTGAGTCAATAATTGACTGTAAGTGAGAGATTGATTATCGAGTGTAACCGCTAACTTATTTGGATGGATGGTTGCCTGTTGGACAAACATCTGATGGATGCAACAAGTGGTATTAGAGATTGTGAGAGAGTTGTTCCATTGTTGTATCATGTTTCTTTCGACAGGTAGCAAAATAGATAATTCATAGATAGGTTGATGGTTGTGATCAAAGGATGAACAAAAGAGTTGTGTGCAAAGAATGTGAAAGCGATTAGCTAGTGCTTCTA